TCAGAGAATCATCTCTTTCAAACATAGGTCAAGGAACTTTGTAAGACTAAAGAAAAGAATATCATTACATTGCTCTGTCTCTTCTAATCGTTTTTTTTTTCCTTTTTTTTTTTTTTAAGCTTCTGAATAGATATTACCTTCTCTTCAACTAAGTTAGCACTAGAATTAAAGTAAGGTTGGCTTTATCTTATGGTTTTCTCCTTCATTTATCTTTCATAAGAAGACAATCTAAAATTATAGAACTTGAGTCAGTAGTTTTGCTACTTTACGTGGTCACCATCTGACATGAAGGTCCACTTGATCTCTTCCCAGAAGTGTTATATTTTTATATGTATAGTTTTGTATGTCAAAAATATTTTAATAGTGCACTTAGACTTTTTCTTGAATAGTTTTCTCATAAAGCCATTGCTAGCAGGATTTTGTGGAACATTACTTCAGCTATAAGGTGTTGAAGAAGCTTCCTTTTCTCAATCTGCTTTTTATTCACTCAACCCCAGGAGCTTTTGCTGTGTTGTAAAGACAGCAGATGCAAGGTCTTCTTTACAGCTTTTGTTGGCAGTTGGGTTTTCTCTTTAGTCTTAAATCTGATACCATGTGCTCCAAGAGCTGGGGAGGAAAAGGTTGTTCAGTTAATGACAACTTTCTACATATTACTATTACTGCTGCAAATAGCCATAAAAACATTGTCGTTAGAGGTCTCCTAAATGCAAATTAAATTTTTCAGGCACAAAGTGAATCCATATTGACCTCAGCTTTGATATAAGGAAGGATACTGTCCTTCGTAGAAAAATGCTGATAATTATACTATGCTGATCACAAGACCAGTCCTCACTAAAATGATAACAGATTTTTCAATGTCTCAAGATAAATCTACTTCTGAAAAAAATCTCATAGAAATCACCAGTAGAAAATAAATCACAGTGCACACAGATTTAAGAAATATCTTAACAAAATTCTGCACATTTAAGATGATAGGTGCCATCCTAGGCAATGAAGGAACAGCTAATGTTATTACATATTCTCACTTTCTGTAAACATTATTACAAAATTATTATTCAAAATAATAATAGTTGTTTTGCCTGGGATAAAATCGTATTAGTAGTTGCTTTGCTTGTAGCGTAGAAGTGCAATAACATACCCCACCATTACCCCAATAACATACCCCACCATATTTTTTATAAAAAGACTCCTACTACTCTGCTTGCTTCTAAGCTGATAATGTAAATCAGTTTTTCTTAGGTTTATCTAACATAAACCATGAATTCTGCAAATGTGAGGACAGAATTGTGTTTTAAAGAAAAATTTAAGGGATAATACAGTCTCTTAATCAAAATTCTGAACAATCTAATCTATTGCTAATTTGAAAATTAACACTGTTCCTTTTTTTCTTGCTTCCTGTTGAGTTTAAAATAAGTTCTCTTAAAAAACGCTGAAGTCTTCTGATACAATTTGTTTCTAAAAGCCAACTTGACTTGTAGGTTTTGGTTTGGGTTTTACTAAATCCTTGAAATGCAGTTTATTGTATACATGTCTTGAAGTAAGACCTTAGCCGATGTATTTTTCTTGTATTTTGTTCTTCATCATAATTTCTCATCTTTCTCAGATGTATTATTTCGATCAGCCTTACTTTTGTATGTGTGTGTAACACATCAGAGTATCAATCTGCACATTTCTCTTCTCTTACTCTTTGTAATATTTTTTTTCCAATGAAAGGCCAAAGGTGTGGTCTATGCTTTTAATGAGAAAAACTAATTTTAAAAAGTTTAAACCTTTGTAAAATATGCACAAAGAACCAGTGGAAAAAAAAGAGGTCAGTGACATTCTGTTTCTACTTCACAAGCCTGTCATAACAAAACAGGCCAGCATGTGTTAACAGTTTCACACTACAGGCCACTAGGAGAAGCTGTTTGCAAAGTTGAGGGCTGGAAAGAATCAACATGCAGCCCAGTGTCCATCATATTGGATTCCCATTGGAACTGGTATGCTATTTTTTCCTCACGTGCACAGCTGTTCAGAAGATTCTTAATCCTACAATGTGTCAGGTGACCTCTGCAAACTATTACAAGTTCTAAGACTTCCAGATCTCACAATATATCAACAGGTTTTCCAGGCTTTAAAGCTTTATGACAAGTAAATAAAACTAGTCTGTTTCAGGGAAAACCCTGAATCCACAATGTAATCAATCAGCTTCCCTAGAATAACTACCATGAGGACACTTACCTTGGATGACTTAGTAAAAGTTTATTTTAAAATTCTGTTCAATTAGTATTTTTATACCATTATTTAAAATTGCCTTATGGTCAAACAACTATTTTCCTCTTGGATTTACTAGCTCTAGCTCATGAGGTTTTTTATTTCATGTATATTTGGTATTAAAGTCTAGGTGAATTCAACCACTTGAGATGAAACCAGAGACAACATTACATCTGTGCCAGTGTTAGAATGTGATACAAGCAAAAAAGACAGGCCAATTCAAATCCAGCTGACAAAGTGCTTAGAAAATGGAAAATTGATGTAAGTGAGAAAGAGAATATGACTTGGTTTTTGAGTATTCATTGTTTAGGTTTTCTCCTGGCTTTCTATTTCCAAAAGCAGCTGAGGACTATAAGGAGAAAAATGCATAAGAAAGGATAATTTGTTCTTCTTTCACTTTCTTGGAAACATAATGTTAAACTGGTGTTGTTCAAAGACTTAGGATTACTCTTCTCAAGACAGTTCTTCACTTTTCTTGGCAACATTCTTGAAAAAGGGGTCCCAGTCTGCAATAGAAAGGTTGCATACTGGTTTTGAATTAAGAAATTCATTTCCAAATGTCCATCTTTACCTTTGGGATAGTAGAAAATACAATTTCATTGATGATTTTAGTTGCAAGATTGTACTGGCATATTTCTGGATAACCAAATGCGTGCATGATTCAGATTTTCCTGGCAAGCACGGAAATATATAAATAAAAATAACCATCTCAAAAAATGCTACTTCATCATTTTATCTTATCTTTAAAGCAATTAAAGGGAAAGATGTAGAAGCCAAAATGAGTGGGAACTTTGAAAACGTTGTTTATCTAATTTTTCTGAAATAATCTCAGATTCTTTTTTCTGTGGGTTCTTTTTTGATAGTAGTAGATAGACATTTCTAAGAGTAGCAAAAAATGATCACCAGTAGCGTATATGTCTGAGAATTGTATTGTGAAAATGCATTTTTATGCTCTGCTTGTTGCAATAGAGCTAACAGGAAAAACAATAATCATAATGATTCAGAGTTTGTGCTGTATTGTAACACTATATTTTGAAAAGATCATTTTTCAGTGCAGTGCCATTTTTCTAACAGCTTTTTATGCACTCTTTTATTTTTCTTCTGGAACATCTGGTTCTATCCAAACATTCACTGAAAATACATTTAACAGTTCTGAAAATTTTTGGCATTGTCTGCATGGTTGTTTCTGACTACATCCTCAGTGAAGTGACAAGTCCCGTGTATGCAGGGACCCTAGCCCTAGTGCAGGTTGACAGATATGACATGCTACTGGCTCACCTTTTTCACTTATTGTTATATGGACCCCTAGGTCTTTTCTGTCATATACATGACATGCTTCAGCGAGGTTTAATATGACAGAACTACTTTGTTTATCACTCCAGAGCACGATCTCTCCTGACAATGACATCAGACAGTGAAATTTACTTAAATTTGAGCCCATTCCATCTGTCAGAAGGCTGAGGTAAAGTATCCTGGCATCCATCAAAAAAAAGAAGATAAATTATTTGCTCCTTCGCATCAAATTTATCCAATAGTATATTGATGTGCTTGGTTACTGTATCTTCACCATATCTGATTTTTATTGTTGTCTTCACAATAATTTAAAGAGTTCAGGGATTATTTTCACTTTGACTTGACAGATCACGAATGTAAGTGATTTAAGGGGTGAAAGAATTGTTTATGTCACAACAAAGCAGCAAATTATCCTTTCCAGATTTAAGAATAGTGGAGAAAGTTAAAGTAACAGTTTAGCAAAAAAACAGTTTAGTGTGTCTTTTTACTGCAGTTCTCTTAGTCCTAAAAACAAGGAGATAGTTTTGGATGTTCTGGAAGAAGTACAGGATTGATCCAGACTTCATGTCACAGTAGTAAACTCAGGTGGGAAGCAGTGATGCTTTGTTATCCTGGATCTGGATGTTAAGTGCGTAACTGGAGGTTTTCAGACGCTACCTTTTAAAGTAGTCAACAGTGTGATCTGGGAAAGCTGTGATTTTAAATTGGAAGTAGTTTTTAGGAAATGTGTATTTCAGTGATTTTTGTTATTTTATTACGAAGATGCTAATATTATTAGGGTAAGACTCTAAGCATGTGTTTAATGTACAAGGCTTATTAATTATTGGAACTCGAATTTGATGTTAAAAAATGCCAGTGGCTTTTTTTTTCTTAAGAATTTTTTTTTTTATTGCATCCTTTATGCCATATTTGTGTGGAAATCGTAGTTACGTACTGCTGCTTATGAATGTGGGGTGAGAGACCAAAAATCTATGCTCACTATAACTGTGGGAACTATGAGCCTTCTCTGGCTTTTCTCACTGTGATTTGTCTCCTACCTAAACTACTTTCAGCCATATTGTGCCTTTGAAAAAATTTCTGGAAGATTCAAGGAGTTAAAATTGACACAAGAATAGATTAGCCCCCCCTATTCTGCTAACAGTAGCAATTTTCTTGAGAAAGGATCCTATGTATTTGGGAGTGATTTAGGGGAAATATACACCGCACTGTGTTTATATTGACTCTTAGCAGCAACCGAGGAATTGCATTTAAAAGTTCGGTTTGAAAAGCTAAGTTCTTTGTCTAGCTGTAATCTGTCCTTTACCTATCTTCACAAGTTTATACATCAAGGCAGTGGGAAAGGGGAAAGCAGGATAGCACAAATTTTAACTGAATGTTTTGAAAATAAAAAGCTCTGTTCAAGGCAGAATCAGCATGAAGTGATGTCAACAATTCTTAAATGTGTAATATTACAGGCCAGATGGAATTGGAACAGTATCTGTTGAAGAGAAAGAAAGGTTTGAAGAAATTAAGGACAGACTTTCTTCCCTTCTGGAAAACCAAATAAGCCATTTCAGGTAAGTGCAATTTATTCACTAGTACTAAGTTTTATCTGGCAGAATGTTCTCATCACTATGTTCAGTACTGATCTTGAACAGAGTGAAATTAAAATAGACTACCTGCAAAGAAGTTTTGATTCTGTTAAATAAAAAATAATTGATTTGCACAAGTGATTGATTTAGAATTCATCTGAAAGTCCTGTGAGTTGAATTCCTGTATGGTAGAAAAGACCCTGAAAGAATGTAGGCCTGATTTTATTGGTCCTTTTGAACTTTAAGCTGTCTATAAATCTATCTAAGAAAATTGCCTGAGTAAAAATGACTAGGTCGTACCTCTGTGTGGATCAGTGCTGATCAGAAAAGGTGTATGAGCAGATAACACCTTTGGTATGTGGCAGCTAAACTTTTTTTTTTCTGGATGTCTAATGTCATTTTCTGGGTTATATGATCTGCTTTCTGTAATCACCTAAGGTCTAATATAAGGTATCTTCAATAAAGAGTTTGGCAATGTAAGGACAACTATACCAGTAGGAGAAGGAAAGGAGTATAAGAAAGAGGGCAAACTTAGCATGACATTTCCTTTTGTATCCTTCTAGCAATTGATAATTTGCAAACTTTGGCATAAAATTGGCACCTAGACCAACAAATCCATTAGTTTTTCATCATTAGCCAGCATCTGCAACCATTCTGCCAATCCAATCCTTTTATAGAATGTATTTATGTACATTTTTTGTCTGTATCACCTTGAGACAATTTTATGACACAGTTTACATAGTGCTGTGTGAAACAGCTTTCTTTTCTTTGGCAAGGTTTGCTATAAGTTTATTGGAAGCTTCTCTGGTGTGATGAGGTAAGTGTCTAGTATTCGCTGGTATCTGTCATGCAGATAACAAGGTTGTTTGGGAATTTTTTGAGCTGGGACAACACAGCAGTCTTCATTTGAGATTTCACCTCTGTATTAACCTAAAGAAAGCTAGGATTCTCCTTGAAGAGTATTCCCTTTGGAAGAAAAGGCAACGTTCCCATCTTTTTCTCTGTCATGATTCATACGCCCCATCTTCCGTGGGATTAAATAACTGATGCCAAAAAAGCAATACAGAACAGTGTAAGACAGAGTGCTACCTACCGAGTTTATGGAAAGGCAGGAAGGAAGTATCAAAAAAGAACATCAACTGCAGGGAGAAGAAAAACTTGTTTCTGCTACATTCTCGTGATTGCTAACAATAAAAACAAAAGGGTATAGGAGTTTGTTGAAGACTTCTAGCCTAACTGGAATACTTATGAATATATTCTATCAAATTTTTCATAAAAAACACAATCATTGCCATTTCCAGTGAGTGTAAGTATTTTTTTTCTTGCACCTGGATGAGGTCTGTGAGAGTAGTTGGGGCCAAAAACATACTGAAGCAGGCTTCTGAATATGTACAGAAGAGAACAAGAAGGCTGGGCATGCTAAGAATGAGTGTTAGCCTTCTGGAAGCCATGTGCATGAGACTAATTATACAATGTACAATAACATTTGAATAATTGAATTGGAACAAATAAAGGTGAAGATCATCATGCCTACTTACCTACATGGTAGAGGATGTTGATGAGCTTGGGCTATACCTGTGATTATGATATCTCTGCCTCATTCTTGCTGCTTCTAGAAGGAATTCAAACAGTGTTAAAAACCTTCAGCTTCCAGTTTTATTATCTTTTGTGACCTTTGTAATTTTCACTGCTATCATCCTGGCTCCATGATGACCAAGAGGGAGCCTGCCTGTCCCGGGCAGGTAGTTCTCACTTAAATATTTTCCAGTTCTTGAGGTACTTGAACTTCTCCTTTCTCCTTTTCTACGTTCTGAGACAGCAGATTCCTTCCTGCCTCTCCAGCATCAAACGTGGAAGGGCTGGTATTTCAGAGAAATCTGCTAAGGCTGTCTTGTATAAAGTCTTCTCTGAAAGTAATGCCTCCTATTTTACTGTGTTGGCGCATGAAGTCAGAGGAAGATTTTGGTGGTACAGCAGTAGAGGCTGAACCTTCCTGCCAATATTCCAATACATGTTGTTGCTGTGTGACAGATGGCAGCAGAGGGGTAGTCTGACAAAATGGTGCCAGACAGGGAAATGTGAGTGAAGCAAAGATGTGTCACTGAATTCCTCCATGTGGAAAAAATGGCACCCATTGGCATTCATTGATGCTTGCTGAATATTTAGAGACTGAACAATGGATGTGAACACAGTAAGATGGTAGATGGTGCTTTTCAGCATTGGCAACAGCAACAGTGGGTTACCTCTTCTGGTGTCAAATTTTACAAGCATGGCACGCAAGCTCTTGTTTATCAGTGGCAAAAACACGTGGGTAATGTGGTGACTATGTTGAAGAATACTGCTCTGTAGCTGAGACTTTGCTCTGTGAAATAGTGCTATTGTGTTTGTATCAGTTGCAGTTTCCATGGAAGTAAGTCAGAGGCATTATTTTCAGAGCAACCTATGTACCTAACCACTTGGCTGGCTGTGTGAATTTAGTCTTCCGAGTATTCCTTTTGCACTTCTGTATGTTGTTGGTACTAATGTAGAACATGAGTGCTGCTCTTTCACAATTCTCCGCTGAGTAACATATACAAACATCTCCAGGGGACCATTACCTGTGTACCCAGTAAGAGGTTGTAGTGTTGGAGGAATACTGCTAAGTGTCTCTTTAGATGTCAGCTGTGACCACATCCCTTTCTCTAAGCCTCTTATCTCGAGAAAACGACTCTTCCCTATCAGAAGCTCCTTGCAGCAATTGCTCTCAAAAGCTGGCTGCCAGTGTTGCACACATACACACTGAGTAATCCCCACCCTGAGTGGGTCATCTGCATCTTCAACTTAAAATTGGGTGGATTTTGGAAACTTCTTATGTTATTTACATTGCAGAACTTACATTGATTTGGAATATTAAGTATAAACAAGGAATGAGTGGCATTTATTCCTAAACAACTATTCTGGGTAAACAGGAATAAACCATGGGAGATACAATTCAAGGATTGTGGAAATACGCTAAAGATAAAGGAGGACTCAGAACCTCTAAGGATGACTTAAAGCCTAAGACTTTAAATCTGCTTTCCTAATTTGTTAGCAGGTTTCCAAGAGTTGTTAGCACTCCAGTAAGAAAGGAACAAAATGAGGCAAAGCAAATATTGAAATGCTCTCCAACTGAAAATCCTTTTTTGACCTCATTTACCAGCCTTTATTTTGGCTGACCAAAATGCATATCAAAAATTCACTAGTCTAAATCCTTTTATCGTTCGAAAATATTTTTATGTTGGAAAACATTAGAACATGAGGCCACGATTGAGTAATAAGAAAAAAATAATCTAAGCAAAGGGAAAAAAATCCTCTTTTCCAATTGGGGATATTATAGATTTTATAGACAGATTAGGAGACGTTACTATTGCCTGAACTCTGTAGTCTCATTGAGCTGATCTGTCAGATCATTCAGCAGACTAAAATTAAAATTAAAAACAAAGCTATGGATGGGATTGCATTTCTACTTTACATAGTGTTGAATGTGGAGACAGAATAGCTGAAAAAAATCACAGTAACGGAAGATGCTTCCCTGAGCTATTTATAACATAATAGGAAATATTATGGATTATCTGCAGGCATCTTTCTTCTTATATACACATAAAACTTAAATATCAGGCATCTTTTTTTTTTTTTTCCCTAGGAAGATGACAATCTCATCAGAGACCATTAAATATTTTTCATAGTTGAGAAAGTGCAAATAATGCTTTTTGCCTTTTGCTTTTGTTTTTGTTTTTCTGTATTTGAGCCTGTGCTGCTGGTAGGCTGATACTTCTATAATGTATATATTTTCCATGGTAGACTACTGAAGAGATCTGTTTTCATTAGTGCTTTGCCTGTGGGAGTTTGCTATTAAATTTATTAATGCAAGCAGTGTACAGAGTTACATCTCAAAGTAAATGCCTATCATTTTCTGTTCCTTTTTTTTTTTTTAATCTTTAAGATACTGTTTCCCTTTTGGACGTCCTGAAGGAGCTTTAAAAGCCACGCTTTCATTACTTGAAAGGGTAAGTTGGACAATATATTTTAGTTCTGCCTGAGTACTAAGCTTGCTTTTTTTTCTTTTGCCTTCAGGCCAACTGAAAGCAGACTTGTTTCTTCTTTGGTATTCTACTACTGGTTATAGTTGAATACAGTTGAAACTGGGAGGTTTGTTTTTTATTTCTCAACATTTTCCACAGAAGCAAACAGCTGCTCTCTATAGGACACATTTCTTGGACTTCGAGCCATTGTAGTTAAGCTTCTTTATGATTTAATGATTATCCAGCATTACACCTAAAGTAATACAAGTCAAGTCTACTGCCCCTCTTTCCCTGCCACTGTTGTTGTTGTTGATAGTGATATAAACATTAAAAACCATCTATATAGTCAAAATAATCATCTATGATTGTGTAGACTGAGTCAATTTGAGAAGAAAATGCTATGTGTGCTGAAACTGTCATGAGCCGTAAATGTAAAGTTCCACATAGCAAATCCTCTTCTACTGCCTGGAAGGATGAAAGCCTTGCAATGGTAAAATCATCTGTCTTCTGTAAGGAAAGAAAATGTAAAATTCCAATAGGGGTTTCAGCAGACTTGTATCAGCAGGAGTCTGAGGAACGTAAGAATGGAAGAAAAGCTTAGATCCCATTTGGATAGTCCTGCCAAAATCTGAGAGGTTTAGTCCCAGGAAGTCAGCCATTTTGCAATGCAAAAAGCTCTGTGGATGGAGATTCTGTCTTATATCTCTGCCATGCTCAGAAACCTTCTGTATGTTTTATTTCACTTCTAATCTTGGTGATTGTAGTGCTATGGATTTCCTCATGTTTTATGAAACAGCCTTTTCCTTTCACTGTTCCTGATGCCATAAATGTTATTGGTACTCTCTGTTGGTCAAGCACCACCTTTGTCAGTCTTGACTGAGAAAAAATAAATGCTGAATGTGTTAAAAACATTTTCTTATCTGTCATTGAAAATTCTGAAAAAAGATCAGATCATTTTCTTTTATTGATAAACCAGAAATTATTCATTTAAAAAAAAAAAAAAAAGTATTTACAAAAATAGGTCATCTGTGTGTGCAATAGAAGAAATCTGCTTTGTAGCAAGCTCTTCCTAACAGCTTCTACTCAGCTGAACCTGTTTCTTTTCCAGTATATATCCTACTATATCCTTACAGACTATAACTCCTTCTATCTCTAACAGTAATTTAGAGATGTGCTGTATGAGGGTGCAGCTTATATAGATAATGTCATAGAGTTGGAAGGGACCTTTAAAGGTCATCTAGTCCAACTTCTCTGCAATGAACAGGGACACCACAGCTAGATCAGGTGGCTCACAGCCTGGTCCAGCCTCACCTTGAAAATCTCCAGGGATGGTGTATCCACCACATCTCTGGGCAACATGTTCCAGTGCTTTACCACCCTCACTCTCAAATACTTTTTCTTTATATGTAATCTATATCTACGTTCTTTGAGATTGAAACCATTTCTCCTTCTTCTGTTACCACAGACTCTGCTAAAGAGTCTGTCCCCTTCTTTCCTGTAGCTCCCCTTTAGATACTGAAAGGCTGCTATCTGGACACCTTGCAGCCTTTCCTCTCCAGGCTGAACAGCCCCAGCTCTTTCAGCCCATTCTCATAGAAGAGGTGTCCCATCTCTTTAATCCATTTTTAGGAAGAAGCACCTTTAAGAGCATGTGTATTGTCTTTCATGTGATTGTTAATTAAAATATTTATTCTAAATGTTGTTTATTACTCCTCTACCTGTTCAAAATTAATGAGATAGAAGTTAAAATAAAAATGCAAGTGAATTATTAACAATTAACTTTTGTTTTTTTGGACAATCACTTGTAATGTTAGTAGCCCATAGTATATAAAATTCTATCTACATAGAGGTATGTATTTTCAATTTACTTCACTTGCAAGAGGTGCTCTATTTTATCGAAGTTCTGTACTTTAAAAAAATCAACAGGTCTAAAAAACTGATAGCTTTAAGAAAAGCTTTATATGATCTGTTATTCCACTTGTCTGTGGTAAAACATTTCACCAGAAGTTCAAGATTTCCCCTGCCTGTTATAGCTTTTTTTTTTCACAACAAAGATGTGCTGAATTTGAATGCTTCAGAAAGGAGGAAAAGCAGTCAATATTTACTACTTCTGACAGTATTCACAGTTTCTCCTTTACACAGTTAAAAAATCAGTGGATTTGCAATGGTGGAAATTTTTCCTTAAGTGAGAACCAAGCAAATTTCCACATTCACATGTTTAGTGGATACCAGGATCCAAACCGTCCGGGGAACACTCTCATTGCACTGTTCATGGTGTCATCCAAAGGATGCCAAACAGTGGAGGTAGTCTTGTATAGCATATAAATACAATACAGGCAGTCAAACAGGATTGAAGAGAAATCTTCAAAAGCAAATACCCAGTTCCACCAGCTGAAATAGTTCCTTTTTGATTAATGCCTTCAACAGTTATCAGCTCTGAAGTAACATTACAATACTTTTATCCTTTTCCCATGGGTTTTGAGTAATGAGTGTAACCAAGTGGTATAATTGTCTATAATTGTCTCTGGCACAGGTTTTAATGAAAGACATTGCCACTCCCATACCAGCAGAAGAGGTGAAGAAAGTGGTCAGAAAATGTCTGGAGAAGGCTGCCTTGATCAATTACACTCGACTTACAGAATATGCCAAAATAGAAGGTTAGTACAGCAATCAATTGCCAAAGTGGCTGTAAAAGCCAACAATGCCTATTAACTGAATATTCTGTGAGCAGCCTTTTCCCTTTCCTGAACAAACCCTTTCCACAGCAAGGGGAAATGTCTCATTAAAATCTCAGCTGGTGAACTACGGAGCTTTTTCCTATTCATTGCTTTAATATGCCTCCTGGGACCCTGTTTGAATGGAAGACCAGGACTTCTTAATTTAAGTTGCCCTTTGTTCTCACTTTTGAGTTTTCCATAAATCTAAAAGGTTGTTTATGGATTATTTTTTATTTCCCTTTTTCTAGCAATTAAACTACTGACAGGAAATTCTTTCCTTATCAACAGTAACAGTACACTGAAACTTGAAAACTCTGGATATAGATGTCTTTCTGATGTATTTATAAGGCTGACAGATAAGTGTTATTTATTTATGTCATTGTGTTGTCAGATGTATGATAATAATCTGATATTTAAAATCTTAATTACATCCTGATTTATTGAATGAACTACATCAGTAGTTTATTTTGTGGAATTTCCATGTATTCTGGAACACATTGCAGTGAAATTAAATTAAGATTTTTCTCAAAAGATTGGCTAGGGTGCACAGAATCATTTAAATACTGTACGTAAGTATGTAAACCTTATGGAGAACAAAAAGGAAGTCACAATAGTGAAATGCTTAGTTAAGATCTGCTCCATAAAGCACAGAAAGTTACGTCTGTGCAAATATATTCAGGAGTAAAAAACAACATATTTGCATCAATCTAACTGTTTCTTTGGAGGCACTGTCAATTAATAGGAAAATAAATGAAAGATAGATTTTACTAAAAAAAATGTATTTGTTATGGATAGTAAGTTTTTATTCATAGCATGTATTTCTAGAAATACACTAGAATAAATAGAGTTATCATAATAGCAAAATGAAGCCTCATATCTTCTGCAGTACTCTAAAGTCAACTGTTTTTTTTCCTTTTTCCATTTCTGTTTAAATTCTCTGAAAAACATAAGTTAACCAATCTCACACATGATAAACAAAAAAACCTATCTCATCACTATAGCAACCAGTATTAGATCATGGGAGTAACAACATGAAACCAGTTCATCATAATTAATTATGATACCATGTTGTGTTAAAGAAAGGAGGGTGAATATTAAATCTATTCCGGAAGATGAAAAAGCAAAAGTATGATTTCCCTTATTTTTGTTTTTCCATATTTATAATGGATTTTCTGGTGCTCAGTATTTGTCTCTTAGTAAACCTGTTAAAATAATTGGTAAGGAAATGGAAACATTATATAAGATGACAAAAGTTTGCAAAAGATATCTTAACTGTCTGACACTAAACTGGATTGGGAAAGTTTTTTTTTTACCATGAAATGAATACATCTTTTGTCAGGATTTTAACTAGATCCTGGAGAATGCTACCAGTTCCCGTGTAAGTAGCAAATTCTGCCCCTTTAAATATACATATTGTTAATACTGCACTAATCTGGAGTGGCAGATAACACTGAAGTCCGTTCCATAGCATATTTTAACTTGCTTATTTCTTTTTGCAAAACTAGGTTTCTGTTAGTATATTTACACTCATGTTATCCCAAAATACAATTGATAATTGCATACAGCAGTGTAGTACATCAAGGAAAAAAGTGTAAAGTACTTTTTCTGAGAATAAAATAGAGTAGAAAGTAAAGGGCTCTAACACCATAACATGAGAAAAATAAACGTCTTTGTAGCAATGAGGCCTGTATTTATCTTTTCCTATACTGAATTTATAATAAACATCTTACATTTTTACCAGCATAAATGCAATAGTTTTCATTCTGTCATTTAGGCCTATGGGAGAATTGCTGCACCTCAGGCACTGAAATGTTCTTCTCTTAGAAGTAATTCATGTTTGCATTTGCATTAATTGCTTACTCCTCAGATTGCATTTTAAGAGCTAAAAAAGAGAGAAGACAATGCATTGTATGAGCATCTCTGCCACAGTCAGGAGTGTCACTGCTGTACTCAAAATTCTTTTTAATTCCTTATTTGGTATCTATTCTATTGTCATGAAATTAAAACAGTTTTATTTCTGCAATGATGTTTCTTTTTTCTTTTTTGGTTTTCTTCTTTTTTTTTTTTGTTTGTTTTTTTGTTTGTTTCATATTTAGCAACAGCAGAAAAAGACTCAGGTGATTACTATTTGTGTGCATGTCTGCATGTGATTTAGTCTGTTGCATGTGTTGTTTTTTCATTCTGTTGATTTCAACAATACCAAGATATTGACCAGAGCATGTACAAGCCTTAAAATTAGTCTTGGTGTAGTGTCAATGTGTTCATCATTTACACTGTTATTTAAGTATGGCATGCATATTTATTAGTAATTTAGGTGATTTTATTAACCTCTATCTTTTGGAATGTTGAAAAATTTAGTTTCTGTGAAAGATGTAACTAAGAGATGCTGACAAGTTTGGCTCTTAAATTCAAAATGAAGGACTTTATATGAGAACTCATCTGACAAAGCTTGTTTTACATCATTCTGATATGATTCTGTTTAGTGGTATGTTTATTTTTCTAGTTACAGATGATGTTTGAGAGCATGTTTGTTCTTTGTGTTTCTGATTCCATGAGTCTGATATTGTTTCTAGTAATGCAGAGAGTTTTTTGAGTGTTTTTATTCAAAGAGTTACAAAAAGATCAAAAAGGGCATGGTTGAAATATTGTCTCCATAAAGACTGTGTAGAAATGACCATTCAGGTGTGTGATGAAGTCCTAGTGGCTGCATGGAAGTATGAGGGATTGCAAATATATATAGAATTTAGAATAGAATAGAATGGAAACAATAGCTATGCACACTTCTGCTTTACCTTTTTTAAAGCCTGATGATAGTGCTTTTTGGTTTCCAACCATGGTTATGGGAAGGGGCATTGAGTTGGTGGCGTTCCCAGCGTAAAATCATTTTGTGTCTAGAAAGACACACTGGTTACTTTAAAGTTGTTCAAAAGATAGTTGAAAACAGAGCTCCTTGACAGTGACAGACCTGAAGGGAGAAAGGCAGTCCATTTCTTAGTTCTCCATTCTCTGTAAGAGGAACAGCTTCCGTGGCCAGTAATCAAGCAGAAAACATTATCAAATTATAAAGATTACATTTTTAAAAGTTAGTATTCATTCATGGAACAGATCATCCTGGATGACATGCTTGATCACATGAGGAATGAGCATGTAATCTGAGACAGCCAGCACGGCTTCATCACAGGAAGGTCATGCCTGACCAATCTGATGGCCTTCTGTGATGGAGTGACGGCATTGGTGGATAAAGGGAAGGTGACCGATGTCATTTACCTGGACTTGAGCAAGGCCTCTGACATGGTCCCCCACCACATCCTCATCTCCAAATTGGAGGGATGTGGATTTGATGGGTGGACACTCGATGGCTAAGAAACTGGTTGAAAAGCTGCAGTCAGAGGGTGGTCATCAGTGGCTCTATGTCCAGGTGGAGGCCGGTAACGAGCAGCATCCCCCAGGGGTCTGTCTTGGGATCGGTGCTCTGTAACATCTTTATCAATGACATCGATAATGGAATCGAGTGCACCCTCAGAAAGTTTACTGATGACACCAGGCTGAGTGGTGGAAGAAAAAGATGCCATTCAGAGGGACCTCAACAGGCTGAAATGGTGGGCCTGGGTGAACCTAATGAGGTTCAACACAGCAAAGTGCAGAGTTTTGCACTTGGGCCAGAGGAATCCCAGGCATCCATACAGATTGGAAGGAACAGTCCTTAAGAGCAGCCCTGCAGAGAAGGACCTGGAGGTTTTGATTGATGAAAAGCTTAACATGAACCAGCAGTGTGCCCTTGCAGCTCAGAAGGCAAATGGTATCCTGGGGTCCATCAGAAGAGGGGTGGCCAGCAGGGACAGGGAGGTGATTGTCCCCCTCTACTCTGCTCCATCTGGAGCACTGCATCCAGATCTGGAGCCCCCAGTACAAGAAAGACAGGGAGCTGTTGGAGAGAGTCCAGAGGAGGGCCATAAAGATAGTCAGGGGACTGGAGCACCTTCCCTATGAGGACAGGCTGAGGCAGCTGGGCTTCTTCAGCCTGGAGAAAAGAAGGCTGTGAGGTGACCTCATTGCAGCCTTTCAATACCTAAAGGGAGCCTACAAACAGCAGGGGAGTCAACCCCTTGAAAGGGTTGATAACAACAGGACAAGGGGAAATGGTTTTAAGTTGAGGGAGGGGAGATTTAGGTTGGATGTCAGGGGGAAGTTCTTTACAGAGAGAGTGGTGAGGTGCTGGAACAGTTTGCCCAGAGAGGTTGTGGATGCCCCGTCCCTGGAGGTGTTCAAGGCCAGATTGGATGGGGTCCTGGGCAGCCTGGTCTAGTATTAAATGTAGAGGTTGGTGGCCCTGCACGTGGCAGGGGGTTGGAGCTTCATGATCCTTGAGGTCCCTTTGAACCCTGGCTGTTCTGTGATTCTGTGAAGTGCAGCTTAGAAGTCCAGTGAATATATAACTGAAGAGTCCGAAAATTCTCATGATTCCTAACACTTCCACTGATTTTCGTTTAAAAGGTTTAAATACCATGGAAACAGAAGTGTTCCAATCAGAGTTGTTAAAAAAGGAAAAAGACAGTGTCGTGATACAGGCATTTCTGCCACTGCCGGTTAGAATGACTACATAACCAGGTGATCACCTGATCCCCCCTGACCAACAGGGAAAGGACCTTTAAGCAGGTGTTCCTGAGCACCTGGAGGCTTCTTCAGGAATGTCTCTGTGAAAAGATGGGTTTCATACTATCATAAACAAATATACCTTAAGAGAGGTTCTCTGCTAGGTAAGACACCTAAAGCTAGATAGTACAAATATTCCACTTACTACTTCAACTCATGCAGCTGTTGAATAAAATGTCTCTTCAAATGAGAAATGTAGAAAGTGTTGAATCTGTGAAAAGAGGAAACTCAATTTGGAGTTTGTCTGGTATGACATTTGTGCTCCAAAATCTCAGTTGTACACTTTT